CCTCTCTGGTGGCCGGGGAGCAGCCGGGGAGCAGCTGGGGAGCAGCCGGGGAGAAGCCGGGGATTGAACCGGAGCTGCAGAGGCTGCGGGCAGCTTCGCAACCCAGTGCTCAACCACTGCGCCACTGCGGAGGCCCTACTCTTTTTACTCTTTCACTCTTTTTATGCTTTTTACTTAGAAGTAAAAATCAATAATTTTAAAACCAACTTAATAAGCTAAAAGACTGAGACAACATTTATGTGCCTTATCAATTTTCCATACAAGTCAGAATTAAAACCTGCACCAAAACAAATAGTCTCCATATACTACTCATGCCCCAAACATATTAAGTCTCCATACACTACTTAACATTCCAGGACTGTTTCCTACTCTTATTATCTACTTCCTCCATGTACCTCTGGGTGAAGCATGATGAAGACACGATAATGTCTTCTTAACAACAATTGCGCAACTATCTTTTCCTAATTTTTTATTTAGGATTTTTTTAAAGATTTATTTATTTATTTATTTATTTATTTATTTATTTATTTATTTATTTATTTATTTATACAAGAACCAGGGTACAGTCAGAAGCGCGGAAGGGTGAGAGAATTCACCAAAGCCAGAGTGGGGAACAGAACAGACAGAATGACGAAATACACTGCTGAGGGGAGCAGCGGGCTCAGCAGCAGAGGTCTGTCGAGCCATGTGGGACCCTCGCCGGGGATTGAACCGGCACTGCAGAGGCTGCAGGTAGCTTTGCAGCCCAGCGCTCAACCACTGCGCCACCAGGGGGGGCCCTTCGGATTTTTTTGGTTTCAATTTTTCTTTGCCATATGAATACATTCTACATCTGTCATTTCACTCTATATTTGCTGATGTCTTTGTCTCTAGGCCACAGTGTCATGTAAGAAATAAATTTACCCTAGTCTTTACTAGGTTTCAACAGTGCATTTCTTGCTTCAATGTTTTATCTCTTGAGAAATGACCCTTGAAGGCAGGTTGAGTGGTTTTAATTTCATTTGAGAAAAAGGCAAGGAAATGTTTTCACCAAATCCAGGCATTTCAATTTACAGGTAAGCATCATTCTTGCTGGTACTTATGAATTATAAAATAGAAACACAGTTCTCACTACAATAATAACTGGTAAACAAAATCATAAATACTCTTCTACATTTTCATTCGCAATTCTATTGGCTTGGTTACTATTACTGGAAATTCATCTCATATCGATTGCTACAACACTGTTTTGGCTGCATTTAAAGCACCAGAGGAACATTTGAACAACAGAGTTGGGTAAAAATATGTCATAGGTACTATTAGACTGTTCCTAGAAACATGGTGAATTCAAATATGGAATGTGATGTCACCAAGAAAAAAGTCAGAATTCAGGCTCAGTTTTCAACCTAAGCAAGAGATTTGAAGGGCTTGGGATAAAATGAGCACTTTTTTTTTTTATTTGGCATCTATAAATTTGATTACATTGTACCACATGGGAGAGCCATGGAACAGATCCTGTCTTTTCCCCCAAGATTATGGGTTCCTCTAAGATCACGTTCTTGAAAGCAGAGCAGCTAACTCACAGTGGCTAGTGGGATTTTGTGGGTTGGGGGAGGAAGTCAAACTACTCCACTCAGAGTGCCAATATAGTATCCTGAAGTATAATAAATAAATCTTGAGAGAAAGCCAATTGTGAACAAAAGAAGAGTTTCCAAAATCAAAGCTATTAAAACTCCTTCTCCCTCCAAAATCTACCATAACCGAAGGAAAAAAAAAAAGCTGATGTTCACAAAAAATAAAATGAAAAAAGTCTCCAATTTTTGTCTTTACTACTGCATTCACAGAAAAGGTTAGAAATCCTTTGACTTTGCTTCTTTAAAGAGGGGAACACTCAAAGGTCTACTATACTTGTAGTTCAATTATTATCTTCTGTTTAATTTGGGCCAAGAAGAAAAAGATCTCATGTTGACAAATTTGTTTAGATATGTCTATAACCGACAATAGTAAGAAACGAAAGCAATCGATGAACAATTTTTCTATTTCATTTCCATACAAATGCAAAATAAAAAATCTTGGTTAAAACTACAAAGGAGGGCCTCCCCTGGTGGTGCAGCAGTTGAGCGCTGGGCTGCGAAGCTGCCCGCAGCCTCTGCAGCGCTAGTTCGATCCCTGGCTGCCGGCGAGGGTCCCACATGGCACACAGACCTCTCCTGCCATGCCCGCTGCTCCCCTCAGCAGTGTATTTTGTCAGTCCGCCTGTTCTGTTCCCTGCTCTGGCTCTGGGGAATTCTCTCACCCTCCCGCGCTTCTGACTGTACCCAGTGCTTATATAAATAAATAAATCTTAAAAAAAAAAATAAAAAAAAAACTACAAAGGAAACAGGTAAAGTGGCTTTAATGCAAGTTAAACTGCACTGTAGTTTCCATTACAACAATAGTTTGACTCAATATATTCAACTTACAGAAGAGTACATGTCTTGGTATACATCAATGTACTTGTACTTACTTGACGGTCTCATATCTAAGCCTCAACTAAGAACTCGGCTACCCAGCTTAGATCTTTCTAAGTACTGTGTTTCCCTGTGAACCCAGATATTAATTTGGAAGTATAATTTAGTGAAATAGTTTTCCCCCTTCTTAGATTCTCAAAGCAGATTGGATTAGGGTTTAACTGGTGGTAAAATCCACATTTAAACCCCTCCTCTACTATACTACGTCCCCCTACCTGTAGCATGATACCCAACTCTAGAAAACCCTCTTTAGACATCCCCGATTATAATCTCCTTGCCTAGCCTACTTCCATTATGAAAGAGGAAATGATTAATGCTGAAGAAATCTTAGATGTATTAGAAAATATTTTTACTAAAGAAATTAGGAAAATAAAAATGTGAATAGTAGATTAAAAATCAAAATGAAAAATAGGTAGATCAAAATATATCAGTTCTACAAAATTCCTTTTTTTTTTTAAAAGATACATTTTTATTTTTGGAGCTGGGGTATAGGCGTGGGAGGGTGAGAGGATTCACCAGAGACAGCACAGGGAGCAGAACAGGCAGACAACGGAATTACAGTGCTGAGGGGAGCAATGGGCGCAACATGTGGGAATCTCCCTGGCCGGCCAGAAATTGAACCCTCAATGCAGAGGCTGTGGACAGCTCCAAAGCGCTGTGCTCAACCCGCTGCACCACCAGGAAGGCCCCAGTTCTACATAATTCTTATGTATGTGTTGACCCCTGAAGGTGCTGGTAGTATGGTAGACTACAGTAAGAGGGGAGAAAAGACAAAGTAAGACAGAGAGATCACCAAAGTATGAAAGAATAGTTTAAAACTGTTGTTCTAAACTTTGTTTTTATAAATTCATAGGAAAAAAGCTTAATAATGTCTCCCCCTGAAACATAAAAAGTGCAAATTATCACTTCCAAGAATGATAGAAATGGAATAAAATATAACTACTATTTTAAAAATACTCTAGCCATCTAAATGTGCTAATGTCACTATCAAGCTACCTCCAGCCACTGCAGCCTGAGTTCAATGCCCGGCCAGGGAGCTACCCACATAGCACAGCAGGCCTCTCCTGTCTCATCTGCTGCTCTCCTCAGCAGTGTTTCAGTAAATCAGCCTGTTCTGCTCACCACTCTGTCTCTGGTGAATCCTCTCACCACCACCCCCACACCTCTGGCCTACACCCCAGTTCTTATATGCATAAATAAATAAAATAAATCAGAAATCTGCTATGTATCTGCAAGTGTTGAGTTGAATGCGAAGGAGTCTGTAAAGATTTTGATTGAGTCATAAAGAGCACCACCAAAGGTTATGAGCATAGATACCTCTGAAATGATGAAAGGACATGTCACAAAAAATATATCAAGTATGAAAAGGCTTACTGGATAAAAGAGATTGCATTTCCATAGCAAGAAATCTTGTAATTGCCTTCCTAACTAAATCCTACAGAAGGAAACCGTGCACACCTGAGGAGACAATCTCACCAGAACCACTTGTGTAAATGCTACTGCTGCATTCTTCAATATGGCTGAATCATCTTCCAGGGTAGAAATATCATTGTCCACTCTTGGTTTTTCAATCAGTTGAACTAAATAAATAGGGTCCAGGGCCTCCCTGATGGTGCAGAGGGTTGAATGCAGCTGTGAGGATAGCTATGAAGCTGTCCACAGCCTCTGCAGCGCGGGTTCGATTCCCTGCTGGCCAGAGAGATACCCACATGGTGAGGCAGACTTCTCCTGTCTCACTTGCTGTTTTCAGTCATTCTGCCTGTTCTACACCCTGCTCTGTCTCTGATGAATTCTCTTGCCCTCCAGCGCCTCTGGCTTGTACCCCAGTTCTTTTATAAATAAATACATATTTAAAAAAATAAACATGGGCCAGAATTTCCATCCCTCTATGTTATTATCACTGTCTCAAATTCTGAAAAAAATGGTCTAATGCTGAGGTTGAACCTGTCTAATAAAGAGTCTGTGATGGAGGAAGTCGGTTCTCCCCATCTCTTTCACCTCTTCATCCTTCTTTATCTTCCTTTTATATTATGTAAAACTTGAAAATAATATGTGGATTATTATATTTAAAGGTGATACGTACACAGCGCACATGTGTGCATGCATACATACACACACACACACACACACACACACACACACACACACACACACCCCCCTTCACGGAAAAGATCATTACTCATTCATCACCAATTGACTCATTGCAACAGACCAGCACCTCAGACTGCAGCATTCTTTTATGCTACAAACCTTCAGCATATTTTATAATTATGTTTCATAAACAACCTTTGAGGCAAATATTATTATTACCACTTTTACCATTCTAAATCATTGCCAAAAAAAAAAAAAACCCAGAACTTAGGGGTGCTCAGCAAATAGTCAAGAAAACAAATAATAAATATGCTAGTGCTGTGGATTTACTATATCTAGAACAATATAAGGAGACCGTGTGGGAATTGATTCCCCCCGCCCCATGAGAAGCACGATCTTTCCCCAGAACTGGCTGCCTACCTTCCTTGGTCCTCTGTGCAGCAGACTCTGGTACGCTCTGGGCACAGTAAACCTCCCGGGTCTGGATGCCACCTCCACAAATGGGTCCTGTCACATGCCAGCGGGGGTCTTGCTGCTCGAGGAGGAGAGAGACTTGGCATTCTTTCCACTCAGATGTCCTCCAGGAATACCTGTTTGGTTTGATTTATTTAAAGGAAAAATAATAAGGAATAAAAATAAATAAAAGAAAATTAAAGTTATGATATCAAGCATACATAATAATCTCTCTTTGGGGATCAAATCTTTGCCTATGGATACAGAAATCTACTGGCACTAAACATTGTTTTTTAAATACTTTTATTAAGAAAATCAGCAGCCCAGCATGTGAAAAAAGTAAATATGGGCATACTGTGGCCATGTCTCAGCCTTGAATTTATAAGAGAATGAAGAATTATTGGAAGGAGTTGGAAACCAAAAGACTATATTCATAGCAACTCAAGGTGACAGGGAGTTTCTCATCACAAACTTCTAGATGCCTTTGGGTGAAAGTAGGCCTTTGCTAAATTAGTAGGGTAGTATATGAATGCGTGAATTTGAGAACATATTATTTTAAATGGCAAAGATGACATCAAGTTTTCAATCTTCTTGATAAAGTTTTTTTCTACTTGTTTGGCTCCACTGACATAAGGATATAGATATTAAAAAGGAGAGTGTGCCACTATATTTAATTGATGAATACATATATATATGAAGATATGCTATTATTTAAATTGAATTAGGAAGATACCTTCCTGATTCATAACTGGTTAAGACACACACACACATATGCACATACTGCACAGAAATAAGGGGGGGACACAATGGTATTTTTGACATAACTTACAGAAAAGAAACAATCCTAGCAACACCACACTCATTGCTGAGAATTATTTCTGACAGAATTTCCGTTTGTGGTTATTACAGCATTCCTCAAGCCCACAGCATTAACATAATAACCCAACAGAATTCACAGAAATACCAACAGTGTCCTTAATTTCTGGAACAATAACTAAAACCTAAGAACATTCTTATATCTACTGTCCCATTTCAGATCTCAGAAAAAAATGCTCAGATTGGGGATTGTTAAATAAATGAATACATAAATAAATAAATAAGCATCAATAAAAAAAGAGCACATGTAACCAATGTGACACCAGGATCCTGGCCTTATAGAAACTAGTGCTAAAGTAAAATCAAGTAAGAGATGTCAAAATCGGTAAGCAAATCCATAAAAACTAATAGTGACCATAGCACCTCGCAGTGAGGAGCTTTCTAAAAGGCAGAGAATCATTAGTTTGTGAAAATCCCATTGCAGAAACAGGATTTGGACAATCCACTGGGGTTTTGTTTGAACACAGTTGTCCTCTCTCTGCCTCACTCCTCCATTTCCACATACTTTTTCAAGGTCTGAAAATTAGTCAGTGGCCTGGACAAGAGTTCGGAGTGGTGGAGCCCAGGCACTGCTTATGCCAGAAGGGCACAGGCAACAATGCATTTCTAGTTCCTGGGCCTGAAAGACAAGAAAAGGCCATTTCTTCTCAGCGAAGCTCCTCTTGTCTCTCTCATCCTTAGACGGAGCTCTCACCCTATTTCCTATGGTCACTCAAGCACAATTCCTGTCCCTTAAAGGTCTGTTTCTCAGGCCACATGGTGCCTGTATTTCAGGGCAAAGTACAGCGAGCGGGGTATGTCGGGGTCGATGTTGCTTATTACTCATTTTAAACCTTCTTACTCCAAAGGTTCCCTAAAAAGTTTCTCTGACTTTTCAGGAAGGGATCAGATCTAGCAGCTCTCTCTGCATCTCCTCGGACAGAGTTAGCAAGTAAGAGAGGCTAAAGGGAGAAAGGAGCGAGTGGGGTATTAACAAGAAGCTTCAGTCATCTGAATCTTTTCACTTACTAGTCATATGGCTTTGACCCAGTTCTGTTTTTCCATTTGTAAAACGGCAGTAACAATGCCAAACTTAAAACATGGCATATAATAAATGTTTAATAAATACTAATTGCCTTCAGATGTCCTTCTACACAGTCCCTTTGGCCCTCAGTGCCACAGAAACACAAACACACACACACAGAGTTAACACTAGATTTATGAGAATTTCATCAAAAGTCCTAATATGAGAGATCCAAAAACTTCCAGCAACTGAAATTCAGCAAAAGGTATTAAAATAATAATAAAAAAACCCCATGGCTTAGAATTATAGCAAGTCACAGTAATTTGTTCACTGGCTGAAAGGAACAGGCCACATTGTATAAATTGCTTTTTAAATTAATTTATCATGACCCTATAAGAATTAGCAATAGAGGAATTTTGGAAGTCATTATGGAGAAAAATGAAAAAGAAAGTTTAATGACTATACAGTAACAAAAACCCTGTTGGTAGCTCATTAACCAAAAACTCCCAAATTCCATTCACTGGCAAACGACAAATTCTCTAAAGTGATGTAAGACATTTATCACTATCACTATTGTTTACCACCTCAGAGAAATACCAACCCAGCAAGCAGCAGAGGTAAAACACAGACACACACACACACACACACACCAGAAAAGAACATCTATATTCCTTTTTAAAACGTTGTTCTTTTCATAGTCTTTGCTCATTCTATTTTTCTTTTTTTCAAAAGCACTATGTTTAGTCACAAATCACCTGCAGCCATGAAAACTGAACGTCCTGAACTCCACCAACCTGGGAAAGTGTCTCTAGGATCTGACAGAATAAGAAATCAAAGGAGTTCGCTCAGCTAAACGTTACTGGCTTTCTCCTTTAGAAGTGGAGGCGGTGATAGTCCTCCGGCCTCAGGAAAACTCCACTTGCTGGCTGACTCTCTTTAATGGCTCAGCCGGGTCAAAGACCAGGTTTTTCTACCTCCTCTCCTGAAGTGGAGGCCTTTCAACATGCCCTCATTTTGTACTCCTGTTTAGGAGGGAAATGTGGGGATTCTCAAAGGCCAGAGTCCTGGCTCTGGGGGTGAGCAACATGGTGAAATCGATAGTGGAAATGCCTCAAGTGCTGTAGAAGGGCATAGAATGAAAGAAGTGAATCCATTCTCAGAGGCCTTTGCCAATGTGACTGTGCAGGATCCATTTGCTTTTGTCAAAGGATCTGAGTAACAGGACAAAGTATTCCTTTACGTTATCTGGGTTCCTAAACAGTCATTTGGGTTGCCAGGGTACTGTGACATACCCCCCAAGTAATACTAATAACTGGCATTGTCTGCATGCTTGCTCTGCTGGGCACTGCACTGCCATGTTAAAGGGCATTATTTCATGGAATCCCCCCAACAACTCTATGAGGAAAATGTTATTTCCTCTTTTATAGTGGGGAGAATTGGCATAAAGAACAACCACTCTTCCAAGGTCATAAAAATTAGTGGAGCAGTGCCTCCCCGGTGGCGCAGCCATTGAGCGCTGGGTTGCGAAGCTGCCTGCAGCCTCTGAAGCACCGGTTTGATCCCTGGCTGCCAGCGAGGGTCCCACATGGCACGCAGACCTCTCTTGCCATGCCCACTGCTCCCCTCAGCAGTGTATCGTCAGTCTGCCTGTTCTGTTTCCCACACTGGCTCTGGTGAATTCTCTCACCCTCCCGCACTTCTGACTGTACCCAGTGCTTGTATAAATAAATAAATAAATAAATAGATAAATAAATAAATAAATAAATAAATCTTAAAAAATAAATAAATAAAATAAATTAAATTAGTAGAGCAGCAGGATTCGAAGATGGGCTTATCTGATTCTTTCAGGAAATGACACCGTGGTAGATTAAAACATTAACTAGAGTAAAATGGAGGATATAGAAGGCAAGTTCAGTACACAAGAGAATTTCCTGCCTAGACCTCATAAAGACAAGCAAACGATTGTTTTCACCTGAGGAAGTGTATTCTGGACTGAAGGATAAAAATATCCTTTACTGGTGACAGTGATACTGTCAGTGACATCTGACTCATAACATTTCACACTGCCACAATAATTTTTCAAACCTCAAACACAAATACAGTTTGAAAATATCTGATACACAATCACTTTATAATTAGAATACTGGGGTCACATCAGGTAAATTTCAGTACTTTCCAGAGATAATTGTAAATTAGAGGAACAGAATATAAGCCAGATAAAGAAAAGTCTGGAGTGAAAATTCATGTTCTCTAATGCACTGAAGGCCGTGGAAGATAACTCTTTGAAGAAGAACACCCTTGCAATGTGAATTCATATTCCACATTGCTCCCTGGTCACCGTGAATCTTAGGTAAACCTGTCATTTTCCATTCATGTGAGAACTCCAACATCCTTATTCCTAGTGAGAGAGAGAACACACTGTCAGCTCTGAAACCCCGACCCTCTGACAAGGGGACTGCTGATAATGCAAATGCTGTGCACACAGGAGAAACAATTTGTACAAGAACATTTTAGTTAATATATGTATGAGAACTAAATATATGGAGGAACTAAAAGCAGGACTCACTAGAAAAAGAAATAAACCTGTCCAAGTAGCAACCAAATCACTGATTCAACCATGTATTCATTCATCTTTTTTTTTTTTTTTCTTTTCCCAGCGAGTACTTCTGGAGTTCCAACTATGTGCCAGGCATGGTTTCAGACAACAGAAATGCACAGTAGTGAAAAAATAATTCAACCCCTGGTCTTGGAAGAGTGAACAAAATTAAGCCCCTGACCTTGGATGGGCACGGTGGGCAGACAAGAAGTGAATCAAGGTACAGCAAAGAATCAGGTAACACGGTGAAGAGAGGGAAGGATGATGAGAGCTATTTCAGTGCCAGGACCAAGAGGTCCTCAAGGTCCTGAATGAGGTAGGGAAATCATAAACAGGTGAGCAAAGAACATTCTAGACAGAGAGAATAGCATCAGCAAGTGTGCTTGGGTTAAGCAGGTGAAGGGAGACAGGACATGAGGGTACTCAGGGGTCAAGCTGTAGAGAACCTTGGAGGTAAGAAGGAGGACCATTCCAATTGTGCCAGGAAATCAGACAATTTTTGAGGGGAACAATAATATGATGATGTCATTTAAATTCAAGGATTACCCTGGCTACTGAGAGAAGAATAGACTAGAAAAGGAGACGGAGAGAAGGAAACAAGTTGAGAAGTCTTCACCAGTTTAAGAGAGAGGATGATGGCTTCAATGGGGGTAATCACTGTG